TCAGCACCACAGAGAAACAAACAGTTCAGAGAGCAAAGAGAGCAGAAAGGCTCTGAACATACACAGAGTATAGATCAGTCAAGGAAGACTCTGGCCCTGGGGATCCCTGACCAGGCCAGCAGCAGAGGGGGTTGCCCTGCTGGGGATCCCCAGCCGCTGGCCCCTCTGCTGCCGGCCTGAGTGGGGATCCACAGACACACTCAATAGAAACAGGCTTTTGAAGGTACTTGGACTAATCGGCTGTCCCGAAATGCTGTTCGTGTCATTAATGACGGAGAGCACCTTTGAAGTACAGGTTCAACCTCACAAATCTGGAACTTTCTGGTCTGGCAACATCTGTGGCCCTGGCTTTAATTGGTTAATCCAATTAAACAGGATTTTACAGCCCTAGTTTCCATTAGTACTTTTGCCAATGCTATAGCAGCCAGGAGGTACAGAAAATTTAAAGCAACAATTCTAGCTAGTAGGCACACAGAAAGCTGGATGTAGCAGGAGGCTGGCTGGCTGAATTGAACTGTAATGACATCTGGACAGGACAGAACAGAGCTAAGCTGGAACGTTGCATCAGATAAAGATAAATTCTCCTCATCTTCCTCCCCTGTCTCAACCAATCTCTGCTCCACCATAAGAAGGTGAAACAGACAGATGAATCATTCAAGCAAAGGGGCACTTGAGTGCTGCAGAAATAGGAAAGTAAGGCAGATCTATCCTTTTTGTGTGGCTCTCCACAATTAGATGCCAGGCCTGTCAGCTATCAAGTCCTTCCTCTCAGATGAGTCATAGCCCAGAATTTTGGTGAAGTGTAGCACCCAGCCCTCACCACACCCTGTGACATCCCAACCTTGTACAGAATTCCAGCATAGCAATTGGGATACTGTCTGCTCTCTCCTATCCTCAGAGATTAACTTAACCCCAGCTCCCAAGTAGGGAGTGGAAACAGGGGCTAGTTAACTGTAATCAGTAAGGGTATATTTACACAGCAGCATTATTTTGGAATAACTGATGTTATTCTGAAAAAACAGTGTGTCTACACAGCAACCCCATTATTTTGAAATAATTTTGAAATAATGGGCTTCTCACTCATTTTATGAGGAGTAAGGGAAGTCGAAGGAAGAGTGCTCTTCCTTCAACTTCCTGTTGTGCAGAAAGCACCAGAAGCCAAATTAAGCTATTTTGACTTGAGCTACGTAAATTGACATAGCTCAAGTTACATAGCTTAATTCCACTTTTGCTCTGCTGTGTAGCTGTGCCCTAAGTGAACTATTTAAACTTTTTTTTGTAAATAAAGACCTTGATTGTGGGTTTATTCCTAACAATATGTAAAAGTCTGGCAAAATGAATGAAGGTTACACCCACCCTTAGTGACTGCGAGGGATATTTGTTTTCTGTAAGAAAGAACTCCAAGTACATTCCCAATCTCATCCATCTGGCTGCCACATGTGATGTAACATCTGACTAGATATCTTAATTGTTTTGGAATAAATCATTTATCGTGCTGTGAAGAACATGGGAAGTTTAAAAGGAAAGAAGAGAAATTATGAAAATTTACAGCTTCAGAATCTACACTTTTTTTCTGCTGAAGCCATTTCAGGCTCTTTTCAACATTCAAGAACATAGCATAAACCTGAAATGCCAAAATTATATATTAAATGTGAAAAACAAACAGGAGTTAAGATTAATACTGACAGCAAATGTCAGCCAGCTAAACATCCTGGGATTCTGACCCATGTGGGCACATAGAAAGTTTCACTGTGTGTGAGGCACTGCTGACATTCCATCAAAAGATAGTCTCTTCTACAGCAGGGTGGCTTAGTTTCCACTAGTCTCTCCTTGCGAGAAGCCTCTATTTTCCAAAACAAATTTGCAGAACGTTTCTGATAGACCTTGGACCAGGCTTCTTCCTTTCTCTCCCCATAGACAGAGCATGTACTATTTCTAGGAGAGCTCACGTAAGCTGCATTTCTCTGCAGCAGTTGCTTCTCCAGGCATTAGCTGTATAGTTACACTGTCTACCCCAGAGACTGTATGGCTTTCAATATCCTATCTAAATAACTGAATCCCTGGCTAATCTATTTATGTTATTATATACAGAAATAACCATTTCATGAAGGTTATTTCGATTTAAAAGTCAATTCAAACATTAGGAAATGGCAGAATGTAAGTATCTTTGCAATCTTAATGTGCCCCTGTTGTACATATGCATTCTATGTTCTTTATTTACATAGTCACACACTATTTTCCTCACTAGACAGCCATACTCAATGCATGGGCTGGACGGTGCTCTGGGAATGAGGATTTATTTCTATCCTGAACATTTAATATATGGTCTCCCATATTTATTTCACACCATCTATCACCAATAATGTTAAGACCAATCAAAAATATTTTTAATAAAAGTATTAGGAACAAAAGAAATCCTAACAATCTATGGATCCACAATGCATGATGGTAATTGATGCAGACTTGACAAGTGTGTTCATCAACATTTCTTAATTTGGAAAGAAGCTGGATGGTATATTGGTATCACATGATAGTGAAATCCTTTCTGTGCCAACAGTAACTAAGAAGGGCATTAATCAGACTCAACAAAAGATATTTTTAGAATGGCAGGTCAGAATAATTGGTACCAGTATTCCCTCTAATTTTTCCAATGTTTGGAATAAATTTTGTTGTGTGCAGTAAGCCATGTACAGACATGCACCATCAGTAGAAACACATGCTGCTGCATATTGGTGCTCTGCTAATCACCTGGGCAGCACACGAATCTCTCGTGTGGCCACCCAAGCGCTCAGCTTACAGGGAACATTCATTGGCACCTATCTATTTTAAAAGAGTAGGCCAAGAACATCTCTGGAGCACTGATATTACTCAATATATACACAGAGAGAGAGAGAGATTAGAGTTTGTCTGTGTGCCTGTCTGCAAGCCTGTTTGTTCAAGAACGCCTCCTAAATGGTAAAAGCTAGGGCCTTCAAATTCGGTATGCAGCTTCCTCCTCTCCTAACTTAAAGCAAGGTCAGGGTTTGGTTGTGGCAAGACAACAGAAGCCCAAGCAAAGGACAGCTTTCCATAACATGCAAAGGGAGGGGCTGCTGTTCCGAAGCTCGCAAAAGGAGAGTAGCCTCTACAGGCAGCGATATTAAAGAGCTATATTAAAGACTGTTCCCCAGGGGCAGCAGGGCTGAGGCTATGCCATCTTGCCTGCCAGTACAGAGCA